ATTCTCTATAATCTTCCATCCCATGAGTGTCTTGTTAATTTCTAGAATATGGCGGAGCATGACATTAAGCTTCAATTTACATTCATCATATTTTCAAATGGAAAGACTTATTAAAAATTTTCAATCCATACCAGTAACTTGGTACGATTTCTAGTCATTTGAACTAAAGCATGGCACTAACTTCTTATTTATTACATTTTCATCTCAGCAGTCGTCACTAGTTGCGAAGGCAGTTGGTTTGGGGGTAGGGTACATTGGTACAATACTAAAGGTCCTTGAACCTTCAAGCAAGTCTTTTTTTGGGCAGCTATTCACCATTGTATCTCGCTAATAATGCCTCCTATGTTTTCATTGTTGAGATCTATTTTCCCCTCAGAAATTTCTTGGGTAATCAGCTCTCATGCTGCAAATAGCCAAGCATTCCGTGTCTTGTCACTTCCTTTCCTCGTGGGGCTATAAGTACACTAGTACATGAATTAAGGGTTGAAGGAAGAGGCCAGGCGTTGGCGATATAACAACTGAATTGACAGATTACGGAGCGATTCGTATTCCTCCTACTAGGTTGAGCTTTTTCTAAGATTGGAGCTACAAAACTAGTGGCCATTAGGGAGAACTGTGATTCAGAAGCAAGCAACTCCTAAGCTTCATATTTAGGTGGAGCTTTGACTTATTATAAGATAATAAGTAGTGGCTATGGTCGAAGTCAGAGAAAAAATAGAGGAGATGCCATAGTCATAGGCCATTGACTATTTATTCCAGCAAAGTCCTTCTCTCCGTCAAAGGGACTCATTCTATTTTACCTTATACTTTTTAAATTGTAGCATTTATTAAATTTTTAATTTTACAAGATGACTTCGTTTTTAATAACAAAACTATTATGATGCATTGTATGATTAGATGCAAATAAATTTGATGTTTTATTGATGGCTTGTTACTAGATATTTAACCGCTTGCACTCTTTTTATATAAAGATGCAGTATTTGAGATAAAACTTAATTGTTAATGAAATAATTGAAGTAATCCATGAAGTTTAACTAGGGATTGGAACACATACAATTAATTTTTTAGTATACGAGTATTTTGAAGTCTCTTTTTGAGTAAGTTGTACCCACACACTAAAACATTTGCATCTTCCCGTTTACATCAATGAATTTACCTTTGTATATATATATATATATATATATCTGTGTGTGTGTGTGTCCCTTTAGTGTGAGTCCCTCGGGTCGGGGGTTTGATCCCTGCGTATGATCGAATTGCACACCTTTCTGAAAGGGGGGTCCACCCCTCGCTTAGATTTTGGGGTTGATCGACGATCAAACTTTTTTTTAAATATATATACTTCACATACACTGAAACCTATCGCTGTGACAACTGCTGTCTTTCCTTCTACTGCGGTTCTAATATCTAATCAGACCGAGGATCACATGAGTCTGTCTTCAGATGAAGAATGACAAGTTTACACTTCTCGGCGGAAGAAGAAGGCTGAGGGCACACTCCAACTTGGAAACTTAGTGGATGATACTTTGGTTACTCCTGTCAATGACACTACACTTCAAAGTTTGTTTTCTGGCTCCGCTCCTAAAACTAGAGGAAGAGTCAGGACTAAACTGACTCGTTCCTAGCTACTTGCTTTTTTTTTTGCATGTTTTAAATCTTTTTTTAAGTCTATCTGTAGCTTTTTGTTAGGGTAATACTGTACTTGGTATCGTATGGGTAGGGTGTCTCTATTAGGCCTTCTCATACAACATTTTTGTATCTTTTCTATTTCAATAAAATCAGCCCTCGAGCTTTTCATATATATATATAATTAATTTAAATATGGTAGATATATATATATATATATATATAAAGGAGCATAAAATAGTGATAACTTTTCCAAGAATTATGTTCACACTTGTATTACACTCTATGGAATTTGACATCCTACTAGTACTCAAGAAATTGAAATAGATTTAGTATTAAGCTCCTTTTTTTTTCTTTTATTGTGAAACTTAAACTGAATCAAGAATAAAACTACGCCACTATACAATCTAACATAATGCTAGGGAATAGGAGCTTTCTCTTTTTTAGCCATTGCCTTTGTCATGTTGTTAACCATGGAAATAATAAAATAAAATAAATCAACTAATGAAAATAAAACAAATAAATTGTGCATAGATCATTGTGAATCAACATGAAGATTTCTATCACCTTATCTAAAAAGATCTGTCTGGCTAAGAATGATTGTTTCTACAGTGGCCTGCTCATGTTATACTGCTCTAATCTTTTCTCTCGTTTCTTTTTATGTTATTGATAATGATGGAAGTTTTATGCTGTGTTTTGTTAGATATATCGAGCTGTAACAAGTGCCCACATCAAGTATTGTGCTATTAAAATGAGAACAATAACTTGTGACTGCCGGCAGAATTGGTAATTTGGAGGTTAAGAATATATGTTGGGCTCTGTCAGATGTGACATAAAAGATATTTATATTTTTGGCTTTGGCTTATGGCCCTTGTTTTTCTTTAAGTGATATCCAGTCTGCATAGTGTAAGAGACTTCATTTGCCCGTTTTTGTGGTGAAAATTAAGGGGAAAGCGGGGGGGGGGGGGTGCAATTGTCTCCCTCAAATTCAAATTTTTACTTACATTGGAGGGTCAATTTGGTCTTTAGCCCCTCTTGAAATATTATTTTATCCTTTGTTGCTTTAGCCCCTCCCACATTGGGTCTTGGGTGCAGTTTGCTCCCCTTAAAAAGGTAGTTGGCTCTGCCTATGCTTCCTACCACATGTTCTTCCTTTATATCTGGTTGATCAGACATATTATGAATGGATATAGTTATTTATCTTGTTTTTCCTGAAAGGAGGCTGATCTTTGGAATGATACACTTAAAACTTCTTCGTTTTTCACCAAAGTCTTGTTCCAATTTTGTTGGTGTATACAAAGCAAAAACTAAGTGTCAAATCATATAACTTTTTATGAGTGATGTTTATGTTCAACAGTGCGGTTGCCTTGAAAAATAGCAAAAAGGGGCAACAACGGTACATTAAGCTTCAACTAACACGGTTTTTTGTGAGGGTTTATTTAACACTAGCTCTTTTGATGAATGCTTTGTGTTAAATTTTGAAGAAGCATCTAATTTATGTAGTGAAGGTTTTGGAGAGTGCAAATATTCTAAACGTAATTAGAAGTTGTTTAAATTTTGACAGGGGCTTAACATGGATGCTGAGGTAGGGTTTAATTTGGTTTCTTGACCGATCAGAGGAAGTAGGGCCCATGATTGAAACTTTTTGAACGTTTTCCACCTCTTTTGTAAGCAATATATTGTCTTTCTGTTTACTTATATTAGACAGCATGGAAATCAAGGTCTAACATCGAGTTTGCATCTTTTTATAGTAGTTCTGGAGATGCAAATTAGGAGTGTTCGATTGGAGTAACTTCAGCCTTTGCTTTTTGAAGATGACAATCCTTTTAGCTGGGATATCTGCTAAAATAAGTGAAAGCTAGAATAAATTGAGGAATTATTTAGAAGAGAAGATGCTTCGGATCAGTAGAATAATTGTTAAGTGTAATATAAAACTTTTGTGGGTGTGAAATAAAAAATTTGTGAACATTATTTATGTTGCTTCGACGAGATTGAATTGGGAATAGGGATTCATAGAACATATTCAGAAATACTGGGATAAGTCTAATGATGGTGATGTTTGTGTTGCAGTTTGAAACTAGAGCTTAGTTCCTGTAGCAATCATATGGCTTCATCGCTCTCCATCTACTTTTAGCAATCACTCTAAATCTTCTTAAATTTTAAAATTCGCTTCACAAAATGGTGATTGGGAGGCATGTTAGGGGACTAGCGAGGCAGAAGTGCATCAAAGTGAAGATTAACCAAGATAATGTTCAATAATAATGATGTGGGTGATAAAGTGGAATGCGGAGTGACATGAAGGTTATCGGAACATGGATAAGGAGCATGTGTGAAATGGAAAAGCATTTTTCAAATTATCATGGATGAATGGGAAAAGATGAAAACCACAGCCAAAACATATGTGGCCAAAACAATGGAGAACAATTGAGTCAAGCCAGTGGGTTCCAACATGATTTGGATGCGGATAAAATTGTTATGAAGGCGATCCCATTGGTGGCAATACAAAAGTTAAATGCTGCGGATTTTGATTTCTTTTTCAATGTGGTAGAGATGGATAAATGTTTTTTTCGAAGAATGCTCTCTAGTGATGGATAAGTGTAGAAAGTGATGAGAGGAAAATATTGGATGTGATGTGAAGTTGGAGGCAACACCAGAGTAAAGCAGAAATGTAGAAGCAATAGGAAACTGCACCAAGGTATAGGCATAATGGCGCCTTTGTGAACGAAGAATTCATTAACACCTAGATTTCTAATTTGGCTTTGATAGGGATGTGAATGAGATGTTTGAAACAAGCGGCAATCTAGAAATGGATGAGCAAAGCAATGGCTTTGGTATGATACATCTGGGGCATGAACCATTAGCAGAGGCAGTTAATAATGCAGCAAGGCGAATGCTGTTGGATAAGCATGAATGTAAATACTGAGAGTAGGGGACCGGCGACTAAGAGAGAGAAGACATTGGTACTTATTATTGTACACCATCAGAAAGGGTTTTGTGATGTTGATAACAGTATTAATTTGTTTATTTTGTTTGGGAACCATTTTTATAGATGACATGAGCACTGTTTTTTTTCGTTATGAAATTGTATTACACTGACTAATGTGATAGTCTCCAAGGCGGTAGTTCTCTTTTCTATCAATTTTCGATATGTTATTCATTTTGTGTTTTTTTTGATCAGTGTACCGGATGTGAATTTCTCTAATGTACTGGTTTTTGTTCGTCGTATTTAACATTCAATATTTTCTTAATTTTAAGTTGATGGTTATCCTGTTTTGTTGGCTATTTTCAAAGTTATCTTTGGTTTATTCTATTTTTCTTGACTGATTGTTTCTTTCCTTTGTTCTCCACTCTTTTTATTTATCTTTTTTTTTTATAAGTTTTGACTGCAGCCTAGCAAAACATCTGGAGTCTGCCAACACGATGTTCTCATTCATATGGTGGATCATTGGTTTCTATTGGGTGTCTGCTGGAGGCCAAGTTTTGACTCGTGAAGCTCCTCAACTTTACTGGTGAGAATAGTTTCTTATTCACATTTCAGTTTAAAATAATTATTTTTTCTCTTCACACGCTTCTCTTTTCCTTGTTTTTTTTTGATTTATTATTCTTTTTTAGTCTTCTCTTGCAGGCTCTGCATTGTATTTCTGGCATTTGATGTGTTCTTTGTTATTGTCTGTTTTGCCCTGGCTTGCATCGTTGGCATTGCTGTTTGCTGCTGCTTACCGTGCATCATTGCAATTTTATATGCTGTCGCAGATCAGGTAAGTCTTCTTGTATAAATTTATATGTCTGTACAAGTTCCTATAATATTCTAATTAGAAGACTCGATTCTTATGGCCAGTGTTTTTTCTTGAGGACCATCGCTTACAATCACATCTACAGTTGGGCCTTTCGCCTGTAGAAAGCTAGTTGTTGATCTGTGAAACCCCTAGAGTAACAGTTTAAAAGTAGAAGTTTGAGATGAATAGTGGACCAGTGTTAATAGTTCAAATTGTATTTACAGCTGCAATAGAGATGCTGCAGCAGATCCTCGAGCTTAGTAATCTCAGTGTGCATTATATATATATATATATATATATATATATATAAATATAAAGAAAGGAGCACATGATAAGTACAGGAAAGCGGTAGAAGTTGTCTTGATAAACATAAACAGCTAAATAATAGGGCAAGCTCCCTCCCATGCCGGGGATAAAATTAGATTTGGAACATAGATAGCCAAAAAATTGTAGGAACCCTCATCACTTCAGTTAGCGCTAATGCAATGAATAATCAAACACATGCCAATTCTTGAACCTAAAGACCTTTTGGATGGGACAATGCCCTCAATCAACTTAGGGCGTACAACCAAATCAACTCATTATGTTAAACTATCTTAAATTTAGCACTTTTTTGGAGCAGGAGGGAGCATCAGAAGACGATATCTGCCACTTACCAAAGTTCAAATTTCGAAGAACTTTAGGTTTTGAAAAACTTGGCGAAATATCAAGATCTTCTGGAGGTGTAATGACTGATTGTGGAGATCCTCATCACGAGATTGCTCTTTCATATGAGAATGCAGTAAGTGCTTGTTCCTTTTCCATTAATGGAATACATATCAAAGTCTTAAAGCGTCAATTAAGCCATTAATTTGCAAATGCTCTGGAGTTCTGGGTTGATTTTCACATGATATTTTATATACTATAAAAATGGTTGTTTCTGTCATCTTTTTGTGGATGTGGAGTAAAGAGATTTGCTCTTGTCCAGAAATTTTGTATGTCAATTGGAATGGTAGTTAATGGTTTAAAAGGATTTCATCGTAAGTCTATGCTAAAAAACCAGATAAAAAGGCACTTAAAAAGGATTCATTACTTATATATACTACATATACTCCATGCTCAACATATAATCCCTTTTTTTGTGTTAACTATATGTAAATAAGAACTTTCTATGCTGTTTTGTTCGATATTGACAAATAACAATATTTTCCTCAAACATGCTTCATGAAATTTGAAGTATTGTATTTTGATTTTTGTATATCTGTTTTCATAAATATTTACTACGAAGTTTAAATAAATTTTTAATTATTCTTGCATTATATTACATATACTCCATGTTCAACATATAATCTTGTGCTATTTTGTTCGATAATGACAAAAAACAATATTTTCCTTAGACAATCTTCATGGAATTTGAAGTATTGTATTTTTATATTTGTCTATCTGTTTTCATAAATATGTACTACAAAGTTTAAATAAATTTTTAATTATTCTGGCATTATATATTAGTAATAAATGAGGTCAGAATCTTTAAATGACCCCCTTGGGATAAGAGAAAGCTAAAGGGACAGATTTGGGGTGGGGATCCGACTGTATGCGTGTTGACAAATTCATTCTTGTAGACACCCCATCCACACTTTTGAGTCCCAATACAACTCCTAACGGAAATAGGAGATTTTGGATGAATGACTTATGCTGTTTGTCTTCTTACATTAAGCCGTAGGCTATGTAGATTTAATTTCACAACCATGATATGGAACTAGCTACTACAGGGTACATGTGAGATAAATTATACTACGAGCGAGAATTAAGCAGCTATTAAACTTGTGAAATAAGATTAATATGGTAGTGCTATATTCAATTCATTCAAGTTTTTAATTTCATGTGTAAAGTAAAACTACACATCATGTGTAAAGCATAACTACACATTGATTTTGGCCCAATTTTCTTCACTTGGTGTTCACATAGATTTTGTTGGCCCGTTGAGTTTTTGGTTCCTCGTTTTATAAAAACATTTTCAGTTTAAATCTAAAATTTTTGCATTAAACTTTACCTGAATTCATCCAATAATTTCCTTTAGCTTCAAACCCATTTCAACACTTGTTGAGAGGAGAATGAATCAACAAATAAACCTTGAGGAATTTTCATGATAGCCACACCGAGTTGCTGTAATTTAGATGACTGTCTATAGAAATTCTCCAAGCATTGTCCAACTGCTGGACTTAGAAGTGTGCGACTGCCTGGAGCATTCTCAGGTCGGGTGAGTGCTTTGGGAGTAACTTAAACTTTTTTTTTACTTGATGAAAATTTTGATGCCCCACTAGTTTGATGTAGCCCAATCACTGATTCCTTATTGAAGGTGCCATTTATTGGTGAATATCATCCCCTTGTAGCGATCAATTCTCATTTGTACTTCTTAAGATACAGTTGTTTCTGTGAGGGACGCCATCCCATTTTTTGTGTAAGAAAATTTAGCATATTCATTGTTCCAGAGCATATTACATATTTGAGCGGTTGTAGCTAAAGGACGAGCGCCGGTCTTAAAAAAAGTCTTAAAAAATCTCCTGGCATCATCAATTTATTTGACTTAAAAGCATGTGTTGGCCAAGAACATGGTATTGTCAGATGAATGCCTTGGGAGCAAATTATAGTTATTTTTTTTAATCAAAATTTTGTATGCTCCATGCCCATCCATTAAATCCTCGTCGAAGGTCTCATATACTGGTGAATATCATCCCCTTATAAAGATTGACTTTTCTCTGCACTACATAATATTGTGAGGGGCTTTGAGTAGTCTTTTCATCCCATCTCTACCTTGTATGGGTAACGTGAGCATGCTCATTGTGTAAGAACACGCCACTAATCCAGTCCTCATTATCTTGTGTATGAGTTCTGATGATATCTTGAGTAGATTAACCAAAACCCATATGCTATTTTTTAGGTTCAACGTCGGATCATCTGTAGGTAAAGATGAAAATGTATCATCCATATTGAATATGGGATTAATGTTTGTATGATACTTTGGTACAATGAATAAATAAGTTTGATCTTTGCATAATTTCTCTTCTTCAAAAGCTAAGAAAATAATATATCATCAAATTATCAACGTCATTTTGGAGGATATGCTAGTTGCAAGTAATTAATCAGAACTATTTAGTTTGACACCTTCATTAGATGTATAAAAACTATATAATAGTCAATTTTTATAAAAAATATTTAATAATACAAAAAAAATTGTAAAATTTATTTAAAATATGAATATTTGGAGATTATGTACTAACTTTGAGGAATCTTCAACTCATGTCAGACATGTGGGCCATCGCCATCATAATTTGGTTGTTATACATCTCTTGCTACTTTTTGTGATGTTGATAAGATGACCTAAATCATGAATCTCTTCTACTCGTGAATGGTCTTGTGAATTGGACTGTGAGTGAACTAATGCACCCACGATCATCTCCAACGTTGCATGATTAATAACCGTACAAGTTAATAATTGAACAAGTTGAATATTTTTTAAAGCATTGATATTAATTGTATCATGTTTGATATAGTCAAAATTATTTATTTATGTTCACAAGCAAGTTATTTATTGTTCAATATGAATTTATTGAAGCATTGATATTAAACTTGTTGATGCCTCATATTTTATTCATATAATTTTTTAAATATGGCTTATTTAATATTACTATTACCATATTGTATATTATTTTATCAGGCTTGGTTACTTTTTACCTCTTTTTTTATATTTCACATATCGTTTTACACTTTCATCATTTTCAATCTCTACACTCGACTCACCAAAGGTTGCAAGTGTTATAGGATTACACTGAGAATTATGGTACGACGTGTGCACATATTTCTCTCCAAACTTCCTTGCAATTGACATGTCAGTTAGCGTATCTTGTGAATGCTTCATCTTAGCCCTCGGAGCATTTTCTCTAATACCCCTATGTAAGAATCGAGATGCACTTGCATGAGAATTGGTAGTAAGTGTAGCTTCTTCTCATCAACTGGCCTATAGTAGATGCATTCTTTTAGAGCCTAATGCATCTTCTCCAACGCACCATCGGCTTGTCACAGATTATTGCCCTTGTGTCTTCATTTCATCCCTGCTTTTTGGACATCAATATCATCTTCAAGGCTTTCACATTTCTTCCCATCCTCAATTCTCTTCAATGCTATTGTTATCGTATTTAGTTGATGCTTGTTTAATTGGTGTTGAAATGTTAAATATTAATTTCAAATATGTTGAATTAGTTGTTCATTTAGACCGATAAAATCAGTTGTTAGCATGATTATCATTTAGAAATTCATTTAATACTCATTTGCTTATGTACTTGTCTGATTAATTTATGCAACTTAAGTGTAAGCCAAGTTCGATCATAATTTATTAGAAATAAGTATGAAGATATATCTGAAAGCTTGATTCAATCTCGTATTAATCTCGAATAATTTGTATATATGACCGATTCAAGTTTAATCCATAATATGCTTCGATTGACTTGACTTCATCATATAGCTTTAGCTGTGCATTATTGGTGCTTTGTTGACAAACACCATTATTATGTGGTGTCTTAACATAAAACTATATTACACGTGTCTTCATCTTTGACATATATTGCAAATCGTCCCATCATCAATTGGGAATTTACATAATAAATTTAACTTACAATGTTGTTTGCATTATATTGTTTTAAATATTTTTCTATGAAGCTTAGATAACTTGCATTAACTTAACGCCAATTTACCATTAAATTCCTCTTATTGTATGTTGGGAAAAATTTGTCTATCATTTCTAGCTCTTTGCTAGCAAGAAATGTTTGCTCTTTTCTTATTAAATTGATTTTTGGAAAAGATCATTCAATACACTCTTACATCTTGCTTGTTTTGATGGGACCTTAAATTTCGGGACTTCTGAAATATTATTAAATGTATACTGACTTAGATTTAGAGACTTGATTTTTATATAGAATACTAGCTTAATGGGAAAAAAAAGAAGCAAAAGCTAATCATTTTTATCTACTTAACCTTATTACCCTTGGTTTTCTCTTATTTGAATTGAATATATATGAATGAGACTATATTCCAGGATCTTTTATTTTTCTTTCCATATCATATTCAAATTATAATAAATATCTTATGCGTCGATGGGTCATAATGTTGATCCACTATTGATTCTTAATGTTCGGGTCATGTCTAAATCCTATTAACAGAACCGTCAATTGACACAGAAAGACCCAATTACTACTGCAGTTTTTCCTTCATTTTGCTTTCCCTCTTCGTCTGATACATGAATCACCTCTCCTCTCATTTCTGCTAGCCAATTTCCTCCAACAATCTCCAGAAATTTTTGCCTCCTTCAGGGATTTTCTATGCTGAACCCATGCTTCTAAGTCAAGTCAGGGTGGATGTAGGATTTGTTATCGAGCGTTCACTTCTTCTACAAAGTGTCAATCATAACAATTGTATGACGGCTTTTATCGCTTCCATTTCTCCTATTATTTTTCTTCTTCGTGCAGATGAAGTTAGTGGCTTTACCTTATGGAAAACAATCTAACCCTCGAACAAGAGAAAGTTCTGAGGATGAGGTATTTTTGTTGTAAGAATTTTTTTGTTTTTCAAATTGAAGCAAAAAAAATAACAGCTTTTATAATAATAGATTATTTAACATCATCAGTAAAATGGACCTTTTTGAAGACTAGAACTTGATTTGGGGATCATAATGTTGTCTCGCAAGGTATTACAGGCCTAATCGGAAAATGTTTAAAACCAGACGTAGAGGAGCCAGACCTACTGGACTGAAGATATTTACCCTAAATTTTCCTTGAACGGCTATGGCATCTATTCATGCTTTTATCCAGTTAAAGTTCTGGAAATACTTTAGCACTTTCTCTTCCCCAGTTTTTTTATTTTTCAAAAATTCATTTAGGGGAAGCTATAATTGATAATGAAGCTGTGATTTAGCAACTTGAGCTAAATGACTTATGCTACAAGAAGATTTGATTCTGCAAAACAAAATTTAACAAGGCTTGTTTGATGTAGGGATCTCTAGTTCGTGAAATTCCTTTCCTTCCTTTAATTGAGTTATCATTCCACACGAGCACTAAACTTTTCAATAAATCTGCTAAGATGGACTACAGACAGCCTAGGTGGAACTCTCCATTTAGTTAAAGTTAAACCAATCCTACTTTTGCAACAGAAATAAGTTATATTTCTTGCATTTCCCTTCTGGTTTCTGTAATGTAAGATCGTGTATTTTGCTTACATTGCGTATTTTTTTTTCCTACAGCTCTTTAATTTTTTTTTTCCCTTTTTTTTCCATCCTGAGTAATGTAGGAGTGCTGCATCTGCCTGTCTGCATATGATGATGGGGCTGAACTGCGTCAACTTCCTTGTGGTCATCATTTCCATTGTTGTTGCATCGACAAATGGCTTCGCATAAATGCCACCTGTCCTCTCTGCAAATATAACATTATAAAGAGCAGCAACAGACCGAGGGAAGAAGTATAGAAGGCATACTATGCTGTCTCTTTTCCCACTTTTGCCCGGCTGCTGCTGCTGCTGGAATTATTGGCTCCTTTCATCCTTGCTCTTCTTTCTGTACGCATTTTTGTCATTAGGCATATGTTTTTGATTTCAGCCGTGGCTTTTTACTCTAGTTTCTGGTCTCTTATATTTGGGTTTCATTTCCATCTTTAAATCGCTGTTTCATTGGAATTATATGAAAGGAAATCGCTGAGTTAAAGATAAAAATCTTTCTCATCGAGATTTAAATGCCTTGGAGTCATGTTGATAATTTGTAGTTTCTGTCCTTTGGTTTGAGTAGAAGTTAAATGATGTTTAGAATGGTTGGTCAGCTTCATCTTTGGAAAGCTATTATTATTATTATTCCTTTTTAAATGGTGAGAAAGTAGTAGCAGAAGTTGTCCTTCTTTTTCCAGACCAACATTTCCAGGCCATATTTATGACTTCTTTTCTTTCTTTGTTTATTGTTATTATTATTATTTTTTGGGCATCTTTCTTTTGCTAGCCTCTCTTATCCTACTGTGCAAACAACATATTTTGGGCAGATGACCTCAATAGTACCCAAAAATTTTTAGAACGTTTTTAACTGTGAGAAAGTACTATGTTTTCACATTCGGAATGATACTTATCATGTTCTTATTACTTATTGTATTTTTCTTTTTTTTTTTCTTCTTTTTTATTATTTTTTTTTTAGTGCTTGGGGTGGTAACATTTCTTTTCATCTCAAGTGACCAAACAAACCAATCATTTTGGAGCTATGGAAGTAGTTGAATTGGTGAAATTTGTTTAGGCTGTTATCATTTCTCTTGGCTGGAACCTGTATATATATACCCACACATATACATGCATGAGCGTTTCGTGGCCTGTTGGTAGAGCAGTATCTCTCATGGTCGTAAATCATCTTAGGTCATGTGTTCAACTCTACCCGTTTGTAGGGTGTGACACTCGAATACTTAACATACTTAGGAATGATTGGGGATCGTCTGATAGATTCCGGCCATTCTTTTTTGAAAAAAGAAAAAATACTTATATACACACATGTATGTATATCTATATATATACATACATCAATATGTATCTGTGTGTGATTTTAAACGTGTTTTTCATAAATGATGAATACAATACATCTGAATAAATGCAAGAAAATTATTGGTAAATGAAGGCAAGATTATAGTTGGCTACAAGAATGTTTAGAAAAATTAATATTTATATCCAACTTACATGGCAATGTTTATAAAATTTAAGAAACATTATATGTATAATGCAAGAAAATTATTAGTGCAAGAAAATTATTAGTAAATGAAGGCAAGAATAAGTTGGCTACAAGAATGTTTAGAAAAATTAATATTTACATCCAACTTACATGGCAATGTTTATGAAAATTAAGAAATATAATATGTATAATGCAACATATTTAAGTAAAAAATATTTGTCAACATACAATTAATGAGAAATTGAACACGAACAAAGTGGTCCAAACCGCAAAAATCAAGCTCGTTGGCATAAAACCTTCTTGTTTATTCACTATTCTAGTGCCAAACCTTCTTATTTTTTATGGAGTAATCTGTTTGTCCATCATTGTATACTTCTATTTCTGAATAAGACTTCCAGATCTTGTGAATGACTAGGAGAAGAGATGATCCATAAAAGCAGGAGACACGATAAAGACAGACAGACGAGAAAGAATGTGGAGAATTTTTGTGCGACAAGCCTCACTAGGATAGGTTAAGCACATACATCCGAACAAAATTGAACTGAAATGATTTGGGCCAAATATTCACGAAAGAATACCTACGAAAGCTACACACAACCGGAAATTCAGGTGTGTTTGTTTGTTCTGGGGTCTAGAGTGCTCTCAAAGGGACGCATTCCACTTGATTAATTACATCTTCGGGATTGCCTAGAAACACTCTTGATCCAGGGAGTTTTGCTTATATTAGAAGTGACAACAAACACATGACTATTAAAGATTAGTTAATTTGCAGAGGAATGTTCTGATGCTTTCAAAGCTCCAGCTAAGCAACGAGGTGGAGAGTGATTCTCTTGCGGTCCGACGTGGGTAGCAGACTCATTGACCTATGGAGCCAACAAAATAACAGAATAATCATGAAGGGGAATGTCAATACATCAAAGCACATCTATGTTTTAAGGACAGAAGACAAATCATCGTATCTCAAATGGACAACAACTCATCAGTAATCAAGTCGTCGAGATGATATCAACAATAGCAAGAGGAGCGACATGACTCAAAGTGTGTAGTGGAAGGAAGGAAGGAGTAATCCCTAAACAGGTAGATGTGGATTGGTCAGGGAACCACAAACCTGTCATCCCAAGCTCTTAAGACCCAAAGTCTATCTGGTCGTGAAGATAGTCGACCCAACACGCCTAGAGATTCCCGATCAGTAATCTGTGAATTGCGTCGTCTGTGGAAACTTCAGTAGCCCTAAAGTCAAAGGAATGAAATTCTATCTCATGACTATCAAATAAAGCTCCAATGGGTGAGAATTATACCTGTCGAAGTGGTAAGCATTCCGCTGGAAAGAGGAGAAATGGGAGGTTTAGCTGTAAAGCCGGAAACGCTCCTAACAATAGAACTTACACCTTGTCTGGATCAGGAAGGCCACTAACGACCTATGCGCACTAGACAACCGCCTAAGTAGAAATTTATGTTGAGTCGGTCAGGTTGAAGAAGCATGGGGGCTTCTTCTCTAGACATGCAGAATGATGCAACTAACTATTCAAGTACTAATGTGGAGGCCCCATTAGTATCACTTGGATGAGAGCCATGCTATGCAATGCGTTTAAAATTCAGTTCGAAGTTCATGCAGGAAAATAAAAGCAAGTTTTTAAAAGTCCCGATAATTTTAATCATAAAATTTTGATTATCTTAACTTTTATTATTAGAATTTTGAGTATAAATTATATAATTTTAAGGTCATTAATGAGTCTAGCTTATAATTTTCATAACATCCTAGATTAACCATAAATAAACAAGAGAAAATAATTCAAGCATGCAAACATGCAAAGAAGAAAGTAAACAAGCCAAAAAATAATGAAAAGCCGGTGCCACAAGGCCGACATTATATCCTAGAAACGAAAAAGATGGTCAGACACCGCAGAAGTACACAAATAGTCCTAATTCTATACATAAATGGGATTTAGAATTAAGGTATGGGATAAGGAGCCTGCTGCTCTTGATCCCCATCACATGGTTTCGTTCGCTTGACGCCTCAGAATCATGCACGTTCCTTATTTCTAATACAAGACTCTAGGACTCTAAAAGTACAGAGAAAAATGAGAAAAAAAAACTCGATTTGCATGAAAACAGTGTTAGCAGGAAAACCCAACAAACATGCAACGTATAATGAGCCGTGTCTTTTTATCGAAGAAACTAAATGACACTTTTAAGAAAAAAGTTAATAGAAATCATCACATGCTCCCCCCT